ACGACATTATTAAAAAAAGTCGTCTAAAAAAATAGTCGTCCTTCATAGAATTTTCTAAAATCAGTTTTTGTGATGACGTGTGTCGTCGCAAAAACAGTCATTCTGAAAAGAATTTTCTGGAACCATTTTTTGCGATGACTTTTCAATATGTCGTCGCAAAAAATAAAGATATATCTGGAACCTATTCGCGGGAAACCACCAAATCTTCCGCCTCTTTTTGGCCACGTCACCGCCAACTGTAAGTATCAATATTTGTGACAACATGTCGTCGCAAATAATGGACCAACCGGTGACAAAATTGTTGGCGCAGATTGGGTTTGGCGCCAATAGCTATTGGTGACGACATGTCGTCATGAATAATTTGTCAAATTTTAGCGACGATATGTCGTCACAAATAGTGAAATTTTGTGCAACGACAAGCGTCGCAAATAGTGAATGTGACGACAAGTCGTTTAGAAATTTTGTTTTCTTTTTGGCGATGACATGTTGTCGCTAATACTGTAATTTTAGCAATAATAAATGTCATCGCTAATAATGTCATCGCTAATAACTCTTTTTGTTGTAGTGCCTTTCATTATGAACTTATGATTTAGCATTTACCAAAATGCTTGCTTGCTTACTAGGTCCTTTTTTTTTTTTTGCTCATTTTTTAAAAATTTTATTGGTCTTTTTAAGCTGTAAGTATTATAGAGGAGGGATGTCTCTTATTATGGTTTTTTTTTTTTTTTTTTTTTTTTTTTTTTTTTTTTTTTTTTTACAGGGGTTTTTTTTTTTTTATGTACTTCAACCAAGGGCTTTTTGTTATGAACTTATGATTTAGCATTTACCAAATGCTTGCTTGCTTCCTAGGTCCTTTTTTTTTGGCTCATTTTTAAAAAAAAATTTATTTGTATTTTTAAATATTTCTTATTAATTTTTCATGCACAATTCTCTAAGTATTATTTTTCTTAAAGATAGAATTGTTTTTTCAACCTTTAAACTTAAAAAAACTGTTCCCCTGATCACAAAACAATAAAACTTCTAATAATTAAAATTAATCTGAAATAAAGAAAATAAGCATTTAACATAATCTAACAAAATCAGAAAAACTATTTTACATAATTTAATAAAACTTTCCCTATTTTGTGAATAAATTGATAGTATATTTTTTTTAACATGACTACACAGTAAAGCACGCAACTCATGCTAGAATAGTAACAATCATCGAACAAATGAAAATGGAAGGGGAAAAAAAAAGGTCTTGGCCGATAATGAAACTCTAATCAGAATCTGGACTTTCGCATGTTATACAGTGTAAGTGATTCCTTTTTGTTGAAGTTTGGGATCTACTTATTGATCTCTTGTAGTAGCTTTTGAAAAAAAAAATGTGTATGAAAAAGTTAGTACCATACTCCTTTTCTTAAATGCAACAAAGTGCGTGAAACTGTTTTATTAGGAGGAAAAAAAAAAAAACCGAAGTGTGTGAAACTATATTAATTATGGGCAGGTCTATGTATTCCGATGGGAATTTATCCTCAGATACAAAAAAGAGTGAGGCCCACTGGTGAGGTTCATGTAGATCCCATTATATGGGATCCACACGGACCATTTTGTATTGATGAGGATAAATCTCTATCGGGACTTAAAAAGTTTTTTATTAATTATTTTGTATTTTTTGTTTAATTGTTTATAAACACAACAAAATTTAATAGAATAAGAGCCCGTTTAGTTTATTAATTTGAGTTTTTAATTCGAGTTAAAATGTGATTTTATGTGAGAATTTTTTACTGTAATAAAAAAGTTAGATGTGACTGTTTCTGATAGCGTTTTACTGTACAAAACTTGAATTTTAAAATGTGTTTTCTCAATTACATCATCTTTGAAAAATTTCACCACTTATTACGTATTGCAAAATTGATAATCGTTGTATTTATTTGACATTTGATGATGGTTTTTAACCATCGATCTTATTTTAGACGAGTCAAAAGATTACCACAGAAGATGAGAGTTTTCCACTCCAATTGTATTAATTAGGCTTAGTATACTTTACGGATTTGAGTTTTTAATTCGAGTTGAGATGTGACATTTTTTTAGAATTTTTAACTGTAACAGAAAAAAATTAGATGTGACATTTTTTTAGAGCTTTTAATTATAAAAATTTAAAACTAAAATTTGAATTTATAAGATGAACGAGACCTTAATTTATGAAAATTTAGTTTAGTACTCCTTTGCTAAAATGCAAGAGAATGTGTGAAACTGTATTAATTAGTTTAATGCAAAAGTTAGTGCAATACTGCTTTACTTATACACAACAAAAGTGTGAAAGTATATTATATTAAGACACGTTTTTTTGACATGACACAATCACTGTAAAAAGTTTGAAATTTTTAAGTTGGCTGATTGATAATCATGTGTATACCAACCAATATTGAACGAAAAGAAAGAAGATTGATGTAATCTTGGTGAATCAAAGGGCACCTATTTTAATTTTCAAATTAGCAAAGATTAGGGTTTATGTAATTTGACTTTGTCCAAATGCAACTTCTGCTTTATACGTCGATGGGCCCCACGCTGACCTCTCATTCACCCCCTCTTCCCATTCCATTTCTCACTCAATTTAAGATCTGTCGCTCTCACTGTGAACATGTTCAGAGGCGACAGACGCGCCACAGGCCCACAGCCACCAGTTCTCTTGAATTTGATTATATTTTTTTTATTCTTTTTTTAATTTTCCCTTTTTAAAAAAATAATAATAATTTGAGTACACTAGGAAATTCTTTTTTTTTTTTTAATAAAAAAACAATCTTAAAAGTCCCGACGGGATATATCCCCGTTAGATCCAGGAAGTGTGCCCCACCATTGATACCCACCTGGATTACACCAGGTGGATCTCATTTTTTGAGTCTCTCCTTTGAGTAAAAAGGATTTTTCTATATATTATATATATATGTGTGATGATAGGAAACACCTAATAGTTTGTAAAAAGTTTTTGTTGTTAGATTTTTATAAAAACACTATTTGTTTTACATATTTTTGAATTTAATGTGATTTTAATTAAAAAAATTATTAACTTATTAAATTATTTTAATAGTCTGAAACTAACTCTGGTAGTAGGGGGAAGTCTACCAAAAAACTTTTTTTTTTTTTTTTGAAATTGCATAAATCAAAATATATACAAAATTCAAATACTTTGAGTCTTTGATGCTGAGTGATAATTCATAAGTTGAAGGACCGAAAAAAAAAAGCACTTTGCAGTTTGCATGATTTTTTATAAACTCACGTGGCTTCATATTTAGACTCGTATTAAGCCTTTTGCATTTTATTTTTATTTTGCCAACGGTACAAAATCGTTTATAGGAATTCGGCTTCTATAAACGTGCGAACATTTTGAGACCGCTTTTTTTGAAGTCATGATATTGAATGTTTATGAACTCATGAATAGTCTACGAAGTTATAATATTAGAATAATGTTGACAACATCAATTTTAATTTTTATATATTAATTGATGTAACGTGTGAGTTGTCATTTTTACATTAATAGGTGTTTAAAAAATTATTATATTAATTAATGATAAGAGATTATATCTACTAATATAAATTAATATGACAACTCACATGAATTGATACACAATAATACTTGAGATTGAAGTTGGTGTGGCTAACATTATTTATAATATTATACCACATGTACCATATGCAATAATGTATCCACAAACGAAGATAAGTAGATAAGTATGACTTGCGCAGAATGTCAAACCTTAATTCTCATGGGTTGATGATGATATTAATAGTAATAACAACAAAACATAATTTTGTGGTTGCATATACAATTTAACAATAATTATATTACATGACTCTATCATAAAATATAGAGTTTAAATTCTTCATATTAGCTAAAAAGAGAAACATAACTTCTCATAAATGCCTACAGAGAATATATTAATGAATCTCATGATTTGAGGACACATCACAAAAATATATAATTTTTTGACGCAATTCTGTTAAGCAAATTGTTTGAGCCTGTTATTCAATATTATTATTATTATTATTCTTTTTTGCTATTCGCTAATGTTTGATAGATATTTTTAAACCATCTTCAATGCAAATATTGTTAATGTCAATTGTATATTTGCTATTAAAAAGTGTGATGATGTACTTCAATACATAATGCTAAATGCTAAATATATTGCTTATCTTGATCATTAAGTTTTGAGAATTGTAAAAGTAGAATTTTAATTTTAAATTAATTTAAAAATACAAATATTATAATAATTGAATTAAAAAGTAAACAAATTAATTAACAGTCAAATTTATCATATACAATACTTGGTAGTAAATTTGTTATAAAGTTTGACATTTATATGACAAATTTATTACAACAAATGACATATATATTAGAGAGTATTTTTACATTTAAATATCGAATTTATCATTGACACATCAATTATAACATTAATAGGATAACAATAAAAGATATACAAACACTCACCGTATACATAGTGCTAAACATAAACATAAACACCAGCTTATATAAATAAATATAAAAAAAACTTTAATTAGGAATATTGCGTACTGGGAACAATATTCAAATGAAGGTCTCTTTGACTTTTTCGTTTTCCTCAGCTACGCAACTCCATCGACATTTAACCAATACGATCAGCAGAAGGAAACAAGGCAAATAACTTTCAACTTATTTCAAAAAAAAAAAAAAAAAAAAAAAAAAAAAAAAAAATTTTTAATTTTTCATTTACCTGAACAAATAGATTGATCAGGAAAAAGATCAAATTAAGAAAAACAAAAACAAAAAAGAACCAAGAACACAGTACTACCCGGGAGACACGTCCCAAAAGGAAAACAACAATTTTAGTAAACAAAAACAGAAAGAATTCGGAATTATCCCTCCATGCATGCGAAGCGTGATTTATTGATGATGCAATCCCAAACCCAAAAAAAAAAAAAAAAAGAAAGGGGGGATGAACTGAAAAAAAAAAAAAAAAAAAAAAAAAAAATTTTATCCAACCTAGTAAAAGCCAAAACAAAAAATGGGCTACATTGAAGAGCAGCGCCAAGCTACTTTGGCATTATCAAGTGTATAATGTAAAAGGAACACATGCATATATATAAATATCATATTATATATACATTGGTCAAATATACCCTCCCCAATTAGATGAGTCAGTTTCTAATCTTTCTAAAAGTCTTCTTCTACCTAACTCTTTCTCTTTTATGTCCCTCATCAATACAAGAAACTGTTACTCCGATCCTCATTAGGCGAATTCGAAGAAGGCCTCGCCGTTGCCGCCGCCGGAGCCACGGCTTGGGAACCGACCGTATTCAGAAACCCCTCTGTAGTATTTATATTACCAACCCCCATATTGCTCACCACTGGCCTACCGGAGCTCAGTCTCTGAAAAAAGCTATCGTTACCGGCACCGCCACTGCCGCCGCCGCCAAACATGTACTGCTGATTCTGCCGCTGATGATGATACAGATTCTGCTGATGAAGATGGAGAGTATGATGATAATTTCCAGCCTGTGCTGCTGGGACCATCACTGCACTAGGGTTTGCGAAGCTGCCTTGCCGGGCCCCGAGCCCAAACGCGAAGGCGGACGCACCGGGGTGGGACCCTACGGAGGCGAAGGGGGCGCTGGGGCCGCCGGTGAACTGCTGCACCATGGCTCGGAAGTTTGTGGTGTCCGTGTTTAGTAGGGTTGTTGGGGTCCGCCGGGAAGCCCTAGTACGACGTCGGACCGGCTTCGACACTCGACCTTCGGGGCTCAACCGGTTCGGTACCGTCGGGCTGGCACTTCCAGTTACAGCGGCTGTGACGGCGGTGGCGTCCGAGACTCGGTCGGGTAATATAGTTGGTTGAGTTGTGGTTGATGCTTGTGGTTGACCAGAGAAGTTTTGGTTGTAGAATTGCATCCATTCGGTAGGGTTAGACATGGTTTCGCTCATGGCGACCTTATAATAAATACGTAAAAATTAAAAAAGAAAAAAAAATTGAAAAAGGGGTGATTCAGAAAGCTCTAAATTTTCCTCTCTTCTGCAAGAAGGAAGGGGAAATGAGCTTACACGATTGTGGTATTTATGGAGGTTTGCTCGGTCAAAGTGAAGACTTTTTTGGAATGATCCTGGCCATTAATTTGGTTAAAAATGAATTAGTTCGTAGATTCATAACTATGATTTATTATTCTTATTTTTTTTTAGAGAAAAACACTCTAAAGAACTAACAATCATGATTCAGAATTAAAGATGAATTCTTAAAACAAACATCCCAGAAGATTGATTCCAAACATGTCACGTCAGGATGTGGCCGAAAAATATTTTCAAGAATTCTACTTTTATCCAAAGTAATATTAAGCACATAAGAGGACACATTTAGTATATGTTATTAGAACTTTCATATTATATTGAATTATTTTAAAGTATTACAGTGTTTTGGATATATCACATAATTTGATACAACATTTAAAATTAATACAGGTAAGTAATATGGAAAAAATTATGTATTAAACTGGATTGTATAATTTAACAAACATATATATCAAAGATTTAAAAATTATAAAGACCAAGACTGGGTTGAGGTCTCATGAGATCAGCACTAAGGTTAGGGGCCTAGACTAAAGTTGGGATTAGGGTTTGGGGCATGGATCGGACTCTGAGACCAACATTAAGATCGGGTTTTAAGAAAGAAGGTTAAGATCCAAAACCATGATTAGGATCGGGGTCCAGAATCGACACCAGCGGTCGGAATACTTAATTTTATTCTTACTATTGAACTTAGAAATAGTAAACGAAATAGTAAACGCTTTAAAAAAAACATACTAGAAAAGAAATGCGGAATCAATAATCTTGTTTCATTACATTTCATTTCAACACAATTTGGTAAACTTAGAAAACATGCTAGAAAATACCAAGTGTCAATAGAAGAATTAGGCAGGATATAAAATTACAAATATCTTTGTGTAATAATTAGTTGTCTCATAGTTGAAATCCCAAATTTCATATGTCCATATATATGTGACGAGTGACCATTGAATTAATTGATGGTAATTAGAATTTGACATAGTGAATATTAACAGGACATTGGAGCTTCTGGAAGTCTCGTGTTTTGGGGCACATTTGGAATTGAGGAGATCATGGGGTCGTTGGTAGGATTCGTGGAAGAAACAATTAAAAGAACTCATTTCTCAGCAAGATTATCAATATATATCATCACAATTGACAACTTCATCGTCAAAGTGGCCACGTCAGAAAGGGGACCGGTGGTGGTGGTGATGGTGGAGGGGTGGGTAGGTGATTTAGCGTGACTAGGAATCTTCTTTTCTTGCTTTCTTGGTATGGTTTTTGGGCCACCACGAAACAACCTCGAACCTTCCATAATCCTCTAGCTTTCAGACGGCTATCTCGGCCCACAACAGCCCCATTTCACGCATTTAATTCACAACTTTTTTTTTTTTTTTTAAAGTGTTCAAAGTAAAGGATATTTTTCCCAAAAAAAAAAATAATAATAAAATCGTTAAGCGTTTATTTTATGCTTCTTTTTAAGCACTTTAAATTTAAGATTAATTCTATAAATGACCCCGAAATTACGTGCCTTATTCGTAATGTCTCTCGAATTTTCATCACAAATATTCACTTTATCAGCTGAACTATATAAAGTTGTTTAAAATACTCCCTAAAATAATGTAATTGCACAAATGCTCTTTAAATTATTGATTTTGCGTCAACTTGTTCCTAAATTTTTAAAAAATCAAAGGATAAGTTGACACAAAATTAACTATTCAGGGGCAAATTAACTTGAAATTAATAGTTTGAGTGTCGCATCATTATTTTTTTTAGTATTATAGATAGAGGGTGCATTTTAACTACGGATTTAATTCGCGAGAAAAATAAACCATTTTCAAAATTTTAGAGGAATATTGAAATTAATTCTAAAATTTACTCTTAAAAAAAAAAAAGTTAAGAAGAGCTCAAGTCTAAAAGGAAAAACTGAGGACGAACAAAAGAACAAAATTAAGTAGTACCCATGCCGAACAAAATTAAGTAGTACACATGCCCTAAATTTCTCATTTTTTTCATTAACTTGTGGATTTGATTTTGAAAAGTAAATAAAGAAGTTGTGATTGACCATTCTTTTTGTTATACCATGTTTCTCATAAGCTAAAGTCAACATTCCACGACAACAATGTTACAGCTCGGAGCTCATATTAGCTTTAGCTCAAGTTAGCTAGGGGAGTTGAGGTTGGACTTAGCTTATGAAGCTAAGGTAGGTGACTTGAGGTAGGACTTGAGCTCGAAGAGTTGGGATAAGAGATGAGCTCTTAAACAACCAAATGTTGGAAAAGATGTCCTCAAAGTATAAGATGTAATTAAAAATTTTATTATTTAATTAATAAAAATAGAAATTTCATTATTTATGTGTATGTATTGTTATATACTTTATGATATCATTAGAAATTTTGTGATTATTTATATGACCTTTAAATATGGTATATAAGTATTATATACGAGAAGATGATATTTAAGGATAATAATCAAAATAAATCCATAATAAATTTAATTAAAGCTCAGAATCTTTTAATTAAAAATTATTAATACATATCATTCCCATTAAGAATAGAACAAGCTTATCCGCGTCGTTGATATGCAGAGATATCGAATTAGTGTATTTTACATAATGAGATTATGTAGGACTGAGACACAAGACACAATATGGATTTCTAATAATTTCAATTAACTATAAAAATTCTAATTGAGTCTACCGATGATTATATATAGAATGATCTTAACCTTAAGTTATAAGCAGACTCTTATTTATGGATTCGTGTCTTTTGACTTATTCGGTATGGATTTTGAGATTCTAAATCATATTCTTTCTATCTTGTAGACATGAAAAAATAGGTAGCCAGAAATTCTAATATTACGAGATGCAATCCATTCCTTCTTGAGAAAGAAGAGGATTGATTTGGTACTTAGATTAATAGAGCTCCGATTCATGAATTTATTTTGTAAATCATTATCCATTAGAGAATTAATGGTACTCAATAATAAAGAAGTAATTAGACAGGTTAACGGATTTACCTAACTCTAATTATGAATTATTTATGGAGGATCGATCTATATGAAATTACTATATCAAATGGACGTTTCACAGATGTAATTAATTGTCTATAATATCAAGAGTGCAATTCCAAGTTTATAGTGGAAAAAGTTTCAGAATTAATTAATTAATTAAAGAGTTTAATTAATTATTAATTTTATTGGAGCTTGATATTGCAGGTCCATGAGTTCTCCCTTCATCCTGTTAATTTTACGAGACACTAAAGGTAAAACAGTAAATTTAGAATTGTAAAATTCGAAATTATGTCACTCAAAAATAATTAATTAAGAATTAATTATATATTAAATAATGTGATTATTTAATTTAATTTTGGAAAGCACAATGTGATGGGACCACATAGGCCACACGCCCAGTTACTAGTGTAGCGGCGTGTGGCACAGGGAGGAATCCTATTGGGATTCGTTTACTTACTCTCTAAGCTATCTGGTTTACTTGTTTGACAAGTTGTCCAATTGGAATTCAAATTTAAAGAAAGTCTGACTTTATTTAGAATTTGAATTTGAGTCAAAATTGAAAACTGGATAAAGGAGAAAATCCTTCTCTTTCCTTATCTGCTATTGGCGCCAACTACAGGGGAATCTCCCTGAGGTGGCCAAATTTATACAGGAAAGAGAGAAAGAGAATTGTTCCCAAATCCAATTAGGAAACTATCTCTAATTATTCAGGAAACTATATCTAATTATTCAGAAAACTTTTTCTTATGTGATAAAGTAGACTTTCAATAGATGTCTGAGAGACACTCTATAAATAAGGGATTATAAAAAATTAGAGAACACAATTTTTTGGCTCTCCTCCTATAGTGGCTGAATTTTAGCAGAGAGAAATAGGGAAAAAAGTTCTTCCATTCCGAGTTTCACATCGCACATGTGTTGATGTTTGCAGAAAACCAATGAGACGAGTGACAACATTTATTCTATTTTCAGGTGTGCCCACACACACAAGTCTCTAAAGAATTCAGAAATTAACGAGGAAGATTCTTGGTAGTCTGAGAAACCGGAACACTTGGACTGTTCATGATCGAAGACTAAAGTTATCATTCTAATCGTTCGCTAGGTATAATTTCTGAACTAAATTAATTAGATTAATTTATTCGTTGTAAATTAATAAATTCTATAGCATTCGCAAAAGATTTATGAAAATTTTTGTTGGGACTCAATCTGTGTTTCTAAGCCTTCGCACCCAAATTAGATTTAGAAACCAACACCAAACCAGCTCATGGACCTTGCCAGCTCGTAGACCTGGACAACTCGTAGACTTGACCAGCTCGTGGGCGAGCTGGCAACATGACGAGCTCACAACTTTGTTTGGATCTCACAAAGTCGTGATTAGCTCACAACTTGGTGAGCTCATAGTTCAGCCTAAACCCTCACATACAAGCGGGACCTTTCCCCACTCATGTGAGAGCAAGTCCATATTTCTCTTAAACTTCCAAGTAAGGCAATGCCTCTCAAATTAGGAGCAAGGTCATATCCTTCTTCATGGCCGCATAAGCTCTCCATCAAGCGAGTTCACAACCTCACGAGTCCTCAACCATGATGTTTGAGTTAACTAAAGTAACTGCTCATGTAACCACCACCATGCACGCGCAAGACCAATGATCCCGAGTAACAGCCTATGTTCCTGAGTTACTGTTTGTTTTCAAAAACAATTTTCTATGCAGAAGCGTGTATCTAGCAGACTGTGTATAACAAAAATTTTTCAAACCTTAATAAATTAATCAAATTAATTTATTTACCTAGCAAACGATTAGGTCGATAACTTGAATTCTTTGACCATGAACGTTCATCGCTCCAAGCTTGTTTAGAATACCCGAATCTTACTCGTCAATTACGTGAAACTATGAAGACGTGTGTGTGGGCACACCTAAAACAAAATGAGATTAGCAAATAAACACTCAAGTTTTCCACGAACACCAACA